TCGGTGGGCTAACACCCAGCAGGATACAAAGAGGTGGCCTAGTTATCGCCCCCTCCCTGTGCCGGCAAGCCATTGCCGCCAGTGCTCATGCCTGCAGGCACAAACAAATACACATACACACAGAGAGAGGTAGTATCTCGTATGTACGTGTGTGCAAAGCGGAGTGGAACACAACAGATCGCACCACCACCACCACCTCGTGAGGACACGAACGAGACGACACGCTCCGGCCTGACCTTAATTCGCACGAAGTTTAGGTGCTAGCTAGCTAGTTCGCTCGCTCGCTCGCCTACCTACACAGCCCTGTGCGTTACGGCATTTCACGGCAGGCAGGGAGTGTACTTCTGTGAGGGCGCTGATTGAATATGCGAATGCCCTACTTATAGCCACCAGCACATTAGCTGCGTAAGGAGGGGGTAGTCAGTGTTATCAGGAGAGAGAGAAAGAATGCAAATGGGGGAAAACAGAGAACAAAATTACCTTGAGAAGGCAATTGGAGTTGACAAGCATGTTACCGGGTTTGATGTCGCGGTGCACAATACCAGCAGAGTGGAGGTATCGGAGACCTCAAATAAAAAACATGTAAATATTTATATAGATATATTGGAAAGAAGGAGATTCTTCGAAAAAAAATTGAATGGAGTGGGTGGGGCAGTTTCGAAGGTTTTAAAAGACTATTTGCGCATGCTCACCTCGAAGGATCTGGTAGAGAAAGATCTTCACGTGGTCTGATGAGAGGGGCTGAGGTGAAACAATGATTTTGTGGAGATCGGTTTGCATCAACTCGAAAAGAAGGTATCTGGCAGGTTGTTAGTTAAGGAAATGTGTCAAATGCTCACTTGTATCTTAAAATAATATACAAATATAGGAGGGAAGTTTTGAGATCAGGGAAGGCAGTGACTGGCTCCAGATACGCCGGCATCCATTAAATGTCAGTCGAAAGCTTAAAAGGCCTTTTGCATTAAAACCCATTTTTTGGGGGTGAGGTTTTAATAATGAATATCATGTAAGATAATCCCAAGATATTTCAGCCAGAAGAATATTCTTTCCTGTACTCATTTGGTAGAAGATCGTAGCTTATACAAGATCCTTATGGGTAACAATAAATTTGTTTTACCACATTAGATAAACAAACTAACCTCTACTAATACCACTGGCCCTGCAAGACAGAATTTTGGGGCTAGTTGTATCTAACTTGGCAGACCAACTTTATTGTTGCCACCTTATGCAATGGAGATGGAAATTTTGAATACTTCACAAGTCATTTAGATAGACAGATGGGTACAATACTGGATGAAAAAAACGCCAGGTCTTAAAAAATCTCATAAAAACATTTTTTAAACCGAAGGATAGCGTTTCATCAAGTATGACAATTGGAGACGCGTTTTGTTATCTCTTGAGTACAACAAAGAATACAGTAGCCGCCGAAGACCATGCAACGCTAATTATGAAAGTCGGCTGGACACTTACGCATATATTTGAAAACACTATTGTGATTCATTCAGT